ACAGTTTTTTCCGTTCATTCACTCAGGCTGGACTGTTTGCTGTTGGTAGATAGCTAGCACACCGTAGTAGTCACCTCTGTCTTTCATCCATCCATCCATCGAGTACCATCTATTGCCTTGATCGTTCAGCAAGCGACGCATGTCTAGCTATTGTGTGGTGCGGATCCGTTCTGGCCTACACTATCGCTGGTTGGCGGGCTGGCCCTCCAGTCAGCAAAACAAGAGACAGCAGGGAAATCAAACAACCAACCCAGTAACCAACCAACCAACCAACCAACCAGCCCAGATCTGGGACGAGAAAATCCCCTGCCGCGCCTCTCTGCCACATGTCATCAATCACATCACGTGTCATCACATCAATCCAATCCGCTCATCTGCAAAAACACTATCTATCTACCGGTCACCACTCACCATACAGCACCGCCCCGGTCGCCTCCCTCGCCCCCTGGCTGGCTGAGGTCGGGGGGAGATCAGAGGCCGTGTGTCAAATCAAAGCACAGCAAGCAAGGAAGGAAGGAACGGACAGTGGGATCAATTGGCGATAGGAAGGAAGGCAAGCAACGTTAGGTAGCCCCGTGGACCGGACACACCGCTGGACGACAAAAACGCCCTACTTCAAGCAATGATCCACCCACACACCAGCCAGTCCCTCAACTAACGGCTAATGGCATGGCATGCCCGCCAGCCAGCCCGCCGACCTGTCGGTGGTCGAGGGTCGGGCAAGAGACACGTGGAGGCGAGGAACGCACGTGAAATGGAATGGATGGCGTGGATGCGCACAGGGGGGGAAGAGGAGTGGTCAAGAGAGCTATCAAGGAAGGCAGCCGGTAGGGGTATCTATCGCCAGCTCGCCCACCATGTCAGGCAGACAGGATACAGTCAGCTAGCTATCAGTCGCCCCGACCACCGCCCGGCCGTCCGTCGAGCCACAGGCAGAGTAGAAACAGTCTGTATGAAGAGATGTGAATGAAGGGATGCGTGCGATCGATACAAACAACACCCGTCCGTTCCCCCACCCCAGCCCAGCCCCCCTCCCACTAGGCTGGCTCGCTAACCCATTTATCCGTGGATGGGATGGCCCCACCGCCCACTAGCCCGCCCAATAGAAAACAAACCATGTCGAACGAGACAGTCAGACGGGCGTGCCCCCCTAATGCCGGCATCCATCCATCCATCCATCAGTAAGTACATGAAACCACCAGTCAGTCCCACCAGTCAGTCAGTCAGTCACCCCCCTACTTATTGCTTGATGTGTTGCCCGCCCTATCCCTCCCTCCCTCCCTCCTCCAACCCTGCCTGCCTGCCTCCGTCCCTCCCTCCCCCATTCCTTCATTCACTGCTTCGTTCATGACTCGTGTGAGGTCTTGGAGCCGCATGGCGAGTCCTCCCGCTCTTCGCCCAGGGGTGGTATGCCGTGCACATTCTCCTCGTAGTGGCGGCTCTTGTACAGCAGCTCGGGCGACTCGGACGTCACTGACTGAGAGGCCGCCGGCAGCGACTGGCCTGTGACGGTGCCGCTGCCGGTGCGGGTGTGGTCCCCGTTGAGCAGGGTGGGTGAGTGTGGGTCGGGGTCAGACCGAGCAGACGAGGGCGGGAAGGGATGCGGCACCGACCGGGGAGACGGCACCGCCGGCGCAGCGTAGGCTGGTGTGGGTATGTCCCTCTCGCCCCCCAAGCCAGCCGAGGCCAGCAGCTGCGTCACTGCCGGGTTCCTGTTGGCGTAGCTCATGAGCCACTCACGGATCTGCCCGATGTCCGGGAGCTCACCCTCCTGCTGCTGCTGCTGGTCCTCCTGTTGCTGCCCTCCCTCCTTGTGTTCGTCTGTGGATTCGACGGGCTCGAGCGGCTCGAGGTTCTCGGGAAGCTGAGACGCCTCCTCAATCGTCCAGAAGGACTGCAGCTCCTTGCCGCCCTCCTCGGAACCAGGCGGCGGCGGCGGGGGCGGCGGCGGCGGCTGGTGTGTGCTGGATGGGGATGTCCTCTCGTATGGCGTCAGGGATGGGCCCACAATCTGCCCCGCCGGTGGGGGCGGCGGGGCCGACAGGGGCGCGTGCAGCTGCCCGTGGGGCTGCTGCTGCTGTTGTTGCTGTGGCAGCTGCGCCACAAGCAGCTGCTGTGGCTGTTGCTGCGGCAGTGGTGGTGGTTGCCCCCCGTTCTTGGGTGTGGGTGCAGGTGTGCTGGATGCGACGGAGGCGAAGGACATGGCGGCCGATGGGATGACGGGCACGGTACTGCCCTTGGAGAACCTCTGGCGGGAGGTCTGCTTGCCCAG